CTCCTTTTCAATTTTGCCGTCTAAAAGTCCATGGTGCTTTGAAAGATATCAATAACTGTGATGCTTGGCTTCTTCTTGACGACTGTCCCCGACTTTTACTACTCCGATGGTATCACTCTGCTGGAAGACGATGCATAGGGCGTCCAGGGCACTTTGATCCGCTTAGAAATAGCAGAGTTTAGCTGTGGACTGTATTTCTCCACCTGGATGGCGGAGAACGTATTAACAAGTTATTTAATAGGTAATTGAGTGTATTCAATGTCACGAAAACATGGAACACGTTGGCGCAACTACCGTGGACAAGAGCTTGTGCTGTGTTGGCTAATCTAGTGAGTACATTTGGCGTTAAGTAGTTTGGCTTTCCAGTCCAAAATCTTTGCAGGAGTAGGAGGCATTGAGAAAGATAAACGAACTTGCCGGCGTTGTATGATAAGCCATTCCCTCAAGAGCATTGATTACATACTCCCTAGGGCCACACACCAGATTGTGGTGATAGTTACCAAAACCCGTTCAGCTAGTGTGGTTTACTTATGCAATTGCTGCGTATCGATTAACATGACAATCACCCTTGAGTAGGGGCTGGATCTATCCGCATTATACAAGCCGCCAGTCAATTAATGTGCCATTTTCTGCAATTGCTTCTAAACCAATAAGTGCAACCTACCGTTTACCCATGATCCGCTTCATATTTGGTGTGGTGCCCACTCACACGGGTTACTGCGACTGTCTTAACTGTAAATGACGCTTGTTGTATTCCAAACGTCGAAAAGGAAATTCTGCTTACTGACCGTAAACGTTGCGGGTGCTAGTTGGCCTGCTTTAACAACTTTGTCACAACTGTTGTGAATGGTGCTCTTATGGCTTCCAAGAACACTCATACTACTCGAAAGTTGCCATTCAAACGTGCCGTGTCGAAACAAGTAGCATCCCAGTCGTGCGAAGCATTGTAATGTCGAAACAGTTGACTTTGCCTCAGAAGTGGATAGTAAACTAGCGGACATACAGACTGGGCCCATTGTGCTCAACTCTCTTTTCTAGCCGTTGACACAATACCTGACCTCACTGTCATACAATACGGAAACATTTCCTAATCGCTACCCACTGCACATACAGTTTGCGAGCAACTTAATAGAATAGTCACTGAAATACACCAACTGATAATCGGATCGCAAAATACCATCGTCTTCCATGTCCCGGATAGATACCCATTAGTATCTGTGAAGCGCGCCCTACTTAAGGCCTGTACACTAACATCGATTGACTGTGGCGTGGTACGACTCCACACGAAGTATCAGGAGCATAGATGTCTATCCGATGCAACTAAATGTATTCAAAGCGGACCAGTTATCTCATCGTCTACGGAATACAAATCCATCGTCATGAAGGACGATCATACGCCACCTTTTGCACGTCCAGGAACGACACCCTAGCTCAATCATTGATAGTCCCTCATCTAAACTCCACCCGACTGTACTGAAAACCAAACCGCGTACACCTAAGCTTGTTCAGCAGGTTGACATCGATGCGCATGATGTTGCTGACGGAAAGCACTTCGTTGAATGTGTAAAAATGAATGGCGTGCCAGTAAACAATGCTCAATTTAAATCAATTGTCATTAAGGCCGACCACAGGTCTCCGGAAAGTTTCCTCTTACGTCCGCGCGAACAACACTGGGGCTCAGTTTCAGCGAATCGCTCGTCTAGCCTTCAACTTCACCGAGTTCTACTGTAACCAAGCAGTTTACACTCAGACTGCGTCACGAGCTACCCATCGACGCGCATGAAGAACCCGCTGCGAAGCATTTTCCAGAATTAATAATTAAGTAATTAATTATTTAACAATATGTTGATCGTGGGGGATGTCTGGCCGGAAAAGACACGAAACAAGACGTCAAACAATGAGACTTTGGTGACTGCGATTGACTGAGCTGTCAAATAAGCAGAAGTTGATCGCACAGCCGAAGAGTACATCATCCTGCAAACTGGCACTTCTACATCACCTAATGTCGCAGCAACATCTTGCTCATGAATAATTAGTAGACACCAAAGCCGCGCCGCGAAACATCTCGAACAGCCCCAAATGCAGGCGAACTTACAACGACATCAAGGCAAGCCCGAGCCACTTAGAAGAGCAAGAACTATCAGCTACTTCCGGGTTATTAGTTGCCCACATTATCCCCGACGGAATTCCTGTGATAGAAGCCCTAGATTCATTGAAACGACACTGTACGCTCTACGAGTCACTGGTTTCCAGTACCCGACCTCCACCTTGGGCACGCAAATGCCCACGCGTCATTCAATCGACTCTGTCCGACCTCAGAGATAATGAATCACTAAAGCAACAGTACAGGAACATGTGTATTCGATGCTCCGCATCGCTCGATTAAATAACAAAAGCAGTCTATCCAAAAGTAGCCTCAATACCACATCATCAATCCGGCCTGTTGTCCCACTTCTGCCCCCTAACATAAGTGCATCCAGTCATCGGCCATCTACCCACCCTACTCTTTCCTGCTTGCGAACGATGGACCTCCGGCTTCCATCCCCTCCTAATCCCATGAGGCTAGCGGGGTGTAATCTAATCCATTTTCCAACGAAATAGTGCAGGTACGCTAACTGTTTCTGGGTGTGCGTACTTGCAGAATGAGAAGGAAAGTGAACGACAAGACAGTCTAATATCTCATATTTGTAAGAAGTTTCAGGGCTGCCCTCAAATACCTATCAGCCTTAATTTGGTGAATATATCATTGCGCTCGGGTTTTGTTGTCTATCTCGATCGCATTTGACCTGTGTGATTCGTATGGGGGCCACGTACAGATTTATCTGAGGAACCGTCACCAATGCGATATTTAATGGAATCAAGCAAAATGTTAGGTTGAGCACTGTAGACATTCCGTTGCGCTGGGTGTCGTTCCCTTTCTTGCGTTATTGACTACTTGGTCCTGAGATTGTAGCTTGTATTGCGCCCCTAAGGGGGGGGGAGAGTCTGGTCGAGATAACCTGAGGTGACATCAAAATATGGTGAGTACTTGGCCGCTCGCAGAATACCTTGGGCTATCAAGCCAACATTAATCTTCCACGCTTTACCCCTTCCCTCGCCTCAAACAGACATCTCGGTTACTCGCTCAAGCCCTCTTTGTGAGACTGCTCTGATTTCATTCACAAAGGGGTTGATCACACCTAATGTTGGCCCCTTGTTTCGGTCATACCCGCTACCGCGTCTGCCTTCGTCTTGATTCCGCAACTGTGCTGACTTCGCCTTACCTTTCCGATAGAAAGTGTAGACTCGTTTCCCATTTACCCGTGAAGCTAGTGGACTGTCAGGGTTAATGACTATCGCGTGGCATCGCTTATCATTCTATCCGAATATTCGTTGGACACTCATACATGGGGTATACTCTTATCTACTCGTCTCTAAAGCATCCATCTCCGGTAATCGAGTGTAACAAAGGCACAGGGCTCGAAGTCCGCTTAACGTGACATAATGGGTAATGGGCAATTGTCATCAATCCTTGATGGGCGCAAATTCAGCTCCGCGCTGATATACGATATTCTTTCATCAACCTATCCTCTGACCATGTGAATAGGTTTTGATATTTGGGCTTTCGTCCCGTGTCCAGTAAGTACCCACCTCACGTGGTCCGTAGCTTGTGGGCAATTGCACATCATCAGTCACGAGACCATTCTATGCTGCGTTTTTGGGTTTGATAGTCTAGATAGGAGTGCATACATCACCGGATGGCTGTCACGGGAATAGTGGGGACGCATCAAGTAAAAATAATGATCGCAAAGGGTACTCTGTTAGCTTGATTCTATCGGTTGACCTCTCGTAGCATGGCTTGATATCGTCCGGTATTGCTGGAGCCGAATTTAATCGCACGCTCATCAGCCTTATCTGAGAGTAATTAACAAGATCGTTCGTTTGTTTAGTCTATTATTTCGACATCCACTGACCTCACGTAACCAATTTATTAGTAGTTTCCAAGCGTCCGTTGGATCTCCCTATCATTTCGTCGCATCATTTTTAGTCACAAAACAGTACAAACGAAGATAATGCTTTTAGTTGGATGAATGTTGTTACGTTCGCTAATCCGCACCTTCCAGTGTCAGAAGAGGAGCTCGCCTGACCTGAACCACCACATTTGGTCACTGTAACTCTTTCGGGCACGTTTTGTACGATGTACTGAGCGTGACTCTACCAGTGCGAATCAGTGACATGAGGATAGTAACATGGGATACCAAATGATACTCAACTTTGATTCCGTTTGCCCGGTATAATCCGTGTATCCGAGTGCGTTGGATTCAGTTGCCTTGATCTACGTCCTCATGGAAGTAATGGTGAACATGGTCTTGAAACTCATGGAATATGGCACCTCTTGAGTAGTAAACATTGAAACCAAGAAATGTATGGGTCATAAGTTTGATGCGAGGGAGCAAATGCAAGTCCACCACTGGCTTTGTGACCGCACGATGCGCATTGCTCATTGATGTGATCGAGCTCATTTCAGTCTTTGTATAATCTTTGCTGAACCAGTGACATTTGCAGACAACGATACTCATCCATACCTGTAGTATGTTTGCCAGAGCGTGTGCAATTTGTCTGTCAGCAAGTCGTTTTTCGCATGTTGAGAAATTTGCCTGTTATCATCATTACTAAAGGGAAAACACTCGATCACTCGTAGAAACTATGTGCACAAGCAGTTATCGTTATTCTACAGGCTGGGGCAACGCACCACTGGATTTCGTTGTACGTTATCATTCACCCTTCGACATTGACAGTCGCCCTATTTTGTAATTGTCCCAGTCTTACCTTCCATCCAACTAAACTTGTTTTCACCTCGTCCCTGTCCCTCACTGATGATAATTTTGTTCTATCACGTCCTTCCGAAGCGCTCGAGCTTATTGCGTCCGCTTATCGCACTGAGCGGGCTGTTTATTAGGAGCGACTAACTACTGACCTTATTCGGTTCACGGTAAATCGCATGTTTTCCCTCTTCACAGGTCACCGTGGAGGCTGGCCCGTTGGTGAAACAAAGTCGTTTGGCCAACTCCGTGGATGATTTAGCCGGTCGTATGACTTTGAACGCTCGGTATTATTTGAAGCACATCCGCAGTCATGAACCGTTGATTGCGGATGATTTGGCCAAATCGATTCTGGCTGAAAGTCGAGTAACATTTTTACAAGTGAGTCTTCCACATAACTACCATACAGTAGCATGTCCATCTTACTACCCCCGGTCGGTTCACTATTCCCTTTCGAAACCGAGATATTTAGCATTCGCTTATTGTTACTCCGGATCGCTATATCTCTATGGATGGCGATTCTGCTGCGTCCATTATTTTTCGCCCTTTGGGTGACTCATCCTCAGGATAGCTTCTGTTTATCCGACTCGCTTCTTGATGCATTGTTCTAGGTCCCACTTTTGATCGAATGACGTTATCTTTCGAACTGCGCTCACCGTTCTCCTTGTATCACCGATTGCACTTTCCATTTGCCCTGATTGTCGGTTGCCGATAGCTAAATTGGCTTAGTACCACACGCGGGCAGATCTGTTCCATTAGCCTGGAACACTGCGAACTTAACCTTACTTTTGGAATTAGCTTATACTGGGCCCAACTTTACAACACCGTCGCTGTTGACACAACTCCTGGGGCTTTCAGAGTAACAGAAGTACAAACGCTCCATCTCGTCGAACATTTTCGCAAGAATGGTATAGTTTTTGAAAACACGTGGTTGACCACGCTCTTGATTCGACCAAGTCGCACTATAACCGTTTCAACTGCTATATTCAATGTTTCTTTTAATAAGACCTGTTATCCTCTAACTTCTCTGTGATATGTGACCCATCAGCAGCCCGCTGTGCACTCCTGACGGCCTAATACTAGTCGTGTCCGACGGGCACAGCCTATGCTTTAGCCAATGGTACACTTTTCTCACCGCCATATGACATCGCAGAAGTCGGTATATCTGTCCACTTGATGGCTCATGCAGTTATTGTCTCCGGGTGCTTGGTGCCAACACTCCAACTCAGGTTACGGTGCAAGTTGCGGTAAACGCACCGAAACGGTGCTACAGCAGACCATTATGGGTACAAACACTTACGATATCGGATATTTCGCTGTGTGGTTAAAATGAGTATCGACCCGAAGTTGACGTTTAAGCATTAAACAAGGGCAGATCAATAAGTTTCACGATGCGCAAAAGGTTTTATTCATTACAACAAGATGAGCATTAAATTTTCTCGAGGCATTCTTTACAGTTCCGTGCGCTCAAACCTTTTGGAGAAGCTGCTAGACCATGCCGCAGCGAGTAATCCATCAAACAACTCTATAAAGGCCTCCACTTCAGCTTCTAGAGACTCGTAACGGCTTCTACGCGTCATGAGCTTTACATTTTTGAACACATAACGTCACACGGGGCCGAGTCTGGACTGTGGGGTGCGTGACCAACCTCCCGGATGCGTTCTTTAGCTAGAAAATCTACGACGACATGGGACCTGTGTGCAGATGCGTTGTCATGTTGCATCAAGGTCTCTCGTGCTTGAGTCCTTGGACGACGCCTAGTCACATTTTCCAGCACTTGTGCTGTGATTCTTTAAAGCGAATTCAGCAAACCTCACATTGACCAGCAATTGCGAAAAAATGAAATTGGGTGGACCATGAATCACAAAATAATGCAGCAATTGGCCGTGACCGATCACTGGTCACGGGACACGAGCCGGAGAGGTCAGGTTCAAACGTCACTTGCTTGTCGATCATACGTCGACTAGACATTCAACAAGCTGGCCTACTACGGGGTAAACCATTGACGAAGTTCAGTTCAGTTGAACAACTATGATCCGAGCACTGAAGTGCGGTGGATCCAGTTGCCACGATTCACATCGCAAGAGTAACAATAGCTAAAAACTGCAGGATAGTAAGGTTGAAGGCCTACAGAATGTAAAGAAAATGAAGGCAAGTGGGAGGTGCGTTAGACTGACCAGAATGGAACGAATATTAACAACCAGATGCTGGAAACCGAATGCAGGAACGCCACTGACTACGTGACTTCACCATGTCTGATACGGTCTCCAACCATCGGTGTGCACCATCCCGAGGCCCCCGTGGAGGAGGACGGCACGCACCAGCCTAACCAAGTCTTTCAGTCAACCTCTTCATGCCTATGTGCCACATCATTGACCGGCCACCTCACGGTTTCACCAAACTTGGTACAGCTATGGCGTATAATCCGCTCCGAGGGCATACGGAAGACATGGCCTAGCCATCGTAAGCGGTTAAAATTCAGCAAACACTCGAATGATACACTAGAAAGCTTCTTGCTAAAAGCCAACTGTCTTAGCAGTGCACACCCGATGTTCCCACCAGACATGAGCAATACTCCACAAGCACCAGTAGTCAAACATGGCTAAGCGTTTCATATCTCCACTGCGAACTGACCTGTTCTTTGATCCATACAGTTACACCGGCTTTACCGCAGCGTTGTACACCCTACCTTTCACTGACAGGCTGATATCCCGCCGTCCCCATGGATGCTTGAGTCTCTGCAAAGCCACACTGGCCTTGCTGATATGCAAAGTAACTTCCTCGGTGATGTGCTTACCAGAGGTGACACTACCAAGGTAACTGAACCAATCCACCACAACCAGTGGCTGTTCGATGATGACTAGAACCAGACGTGTGTCGTTCCAGTCTTTTAACATTACTTTTCACTTTGAAGGTGCAAACTACTTGGCGAAACGTGCAGCGCTACACGTCAGTCTGTGTAGTACTGTTTGCATAGCCATTGCGTCAGACCCAAGGAGAGCTATGTCGTCCGCATACTTCAGGTTTGTCAGTCGGTCACCTGGCGGAACTTCCACTCCGGTAGAGTCTGAGAGAACCGAATCGTTTATGATCATTTCGATCACAAAGTTGAAGTAGAAAGGAGATATAGGACAACCCTGGCGAACCCCAGTTGTCGTTGGGAACTCGGGAGACAGTTCCTGCTTGGGCCTTACCCTATCTGGGGACTGCATAAGAAAGGAATTTAGCCGGCACGTCACTCATGGGTAGACAGTGCCACAATTTAGCGCGGTCAGCAAAGTCGAAGGCGGCTTTCAAGTCAAGAAATACCACCATTGTCTGTCGTCTGTATGAGTGTCTCTGCTCCAACACAACTAAGAGTGAATATGTGGTCGATACAACCACGATCAGGGCGAAAACCAGTTAATCGGTTCTCACCTAGATTAGTAAGTCGTCGTAGAATGATGCCCGTGAGAAGTTTCGATTCACCGGTGCAAGGCTAATGCCTCGATGATTTTCACACAAAGGACTCTGCTCCCTCGTGAAGCTGGACCCGATAATTGACACTGACGGAGTTGTCCCGACGGGTTACGGTAACGTCTGCAGAAAAATCGCCCTTCCTGGAGAACAAGCCAAAATTCGAACAAGGTATCTAAGAAGTATGTCTCCATCGATCGCAGCCGTGTTCAACTCATATTGTCCACACGGATTGATCTGTGTGTTTCTCACATTTTCTGGACGTTTACCAATACTGTTGCCGGATGCGTGTAACCCCGGGTGACAGACCCATCACATAGCCAAAGAGTCGGCACGGCAAATGCCAACTTCCTGAATTGGGTCTTCGGGATCAGACGCCGTCGAATGCTTAGGAATATTGGTGATGTTTTTGGATTCCTCTCTTGTCACTTCCACTTAACGAGCTTCACACTTCTTTCTCCCTCTGAATTGCCGTTTCTGACACACATTTCGCGATGGGTTATTCTTCTTTTAAGTTTTCTGAATTGCTCAAAGGAAAGTCACTCCATCTCTTTCCGACGCAACGGATCATTGTCGGTCAAACTGAAGTGGACTGCTTGGGACCCAATATCACGGTACTAAAGTACCAGAGTTGCACACCATTCAATCGGTAATGATCAGCTGCTACAGCGCCACCAGGAAGTGGACTGGATTCTTCCGGGAGCATGGTCGCGGGCATCAATCGACATGTCTGAGGTAGCCCATTCAGTGCGATGAACTACAGTAAGTCCCATAGATAAAGGGAGGGGATGCGAAGCATGGCAACAATGACGTCGGAGGCACATTTGCAGTGTATTTTGGTAATCTTGGCTAATCGAACTAGCCAACCACTGTGTGAAGCACGGGAATGGAACTTGTTTACGCAGATCATGTGGGTATATTTTGCGAACGCAACGAGGTTTGAAACGCACAGTTGGTGTTAGAAGCAAACTAAAAAGTGCTAATTCTACCCTTCAGGTCACTACTTTGTTTGGCTATGTTGGTTTTGGCATGAGAGACTTCATTGTCCACTGCCAAGTCGACTTTTACTCACATCAAGCTTTGCGCTACTCTACCTCAGGCAAACAAAACAAGGCCCTCTTCGATAAGCGGTGACTTGGCAAACGTAGTACGTGCTCAGGCCAACGCAGCTTGTTCATCCTCGGAATTAATGCACCTTGGCTGAAGGCAATAACCACATTTAGACTAATGTTCCGCAATACAAAAACTATAAGCCATGTTTCGAAAAAAACGTAGTATGATGCTTCGACCCACTTTGTTCACACGCGTGACGCGCGCACTCCTGGGTCACTTGGATTATTCCTCTCTATCCTCCCTCATCTCGTAGCGTAGTCACCGTGCGCTCATTCAAACTGGATTTACCATCCCTACACAGTGATCCATCATATGTGGAATTATCTTATGCCATCATTAACCGTTTTAACTGTCATCCGTGATTAAACGCAAGCGGATAACGCAATCACATTGAGCCGATTGCCCTTCTGTGTGGCACCATTCGATACAGAACTCTCGAGGCAATCCGAAATGCCTATGCATATTCCAATCCGGTGTTTCTCAACGCAGCTGTGGAGAAATTTGTGATCTCTGCATCCGTGTTCGGCGTTATGTTTAGATTCCTTTACTAGGCCCCAAACCAGCCGGGCCTAACCTCGATCGATCTACCGACCAACATTGAAACATGTGTTTACAAGGGAGCACTGATGACAGTGAGCGCGCCACGACCGCTGACTCACGCTTATCGTTGACGCGGGAAGCTGCATTAATTGATCATACGACAAACGCGTGACCTTAAAACTGTACGCCCTCTGTGAACATGTCTCATGTTAAGCGCAATTGTGAATTATGTGTTAAAATGGTGAAGAGTGGGCTAGTTCGCAGCAGTTGCT